GTTTATTTCAGTTTGAGAACATGTAGACATTTAAATTATTTTTGAAATTTTCAGTACTTAAATACTTGGATTATTTTTGGATGGTGGTTTAGCCTGTGCATTCGGTTATGTGAGAACCGAGTGTGGCGGTAACACCCATTTCCCTATTAAGACTTCCGCTGTATCTCTGATGTTTTCAAATAAAGTTGATAATTCCTTTGAATAAATCATTATTTAAATGTATTTTTGGTTGGGGAAAATGGGGGTGTTACAGGTTGTGCTATGTCATCTTCTGTTATCCCGTCAAACACCACTTGTTGTTTGTTTTCTGGTTGCCTGCCTTTGCTTGTATTTGCTGCAAAACCATCTTTATACAGGACATTCCCGTTGAAGGTGACATCTCTACTTCTGATAACCTTCTTTTTGTGGTTGTCCCAGAACATGTAGCCCATGTCATCCGGTCCATACCCAATAAAGGTACATTTCTTTGCCTTTGTCTCAAGTTTGTCACTATTTGCATTTTTAACTTTGACATAAGAAATACAACCAAAAACTTTCAATTGAGTAAGAAATACCTCTCGACCTTTCCATTCCTCTTCTGGAATTTTGAACCCTATGAGAGATGAGGGTCCTCTGTTGATCAAATACGCTGCTGTGTTCACTGCATCAGCCCAGAACATCTTTGCAAGTCCTACATGCAATCTGATACGTTCGTAATTTCCATTTCTATGTTTATGTTTTTAATTAGTTTTGCTTGACTTTTACTTTGGAAATTACACACTTTTGGTGTAATAGATTAGATTGTTAAATTCTTGTAAATAGGTTAGATTAGACATATTCTGAGCTTAAGCAGGTTTTGGTCACCCAAAGTACAGTTGGTGAACCTAAAAAGTGAAGAGAAGGTGCAAAAGTTCAAAGACAAAAGAAGATCCTGAAGTTTGGTCTATACTCGGTCGAGTATTAGCTATACTCGATCGGGTATTAGGTTAGAACTTCAAATCGGATCAAATCCGAAGACAAAGGAACATGCAGGGAAGATTTTGGCCACGATTCTATGTCTATACCCGATCGGGTAGACCGACATACCCGATCGGGTATGCCTTTAAATTGCAAACGAAGATCGGTCGAGTATAGCCCGAATACCACTTTCTAAGCATACTCGACCGGGTATTCATATATACTCGATCGGGTATACACTTAGAAAATAGCCTGAAACCGGTCGAGTATGCCTCGGATCGGGTGTTACACACATACTCGATCGGGTACCATGTATATACCCGATCGAGTACCCGAATCCCATCCCAAAAACCTATAAATACACCTCCTTTCCTTCACAAAAAGATATCCAATCCCTTGTACATCTAAGCTCAGTATAGAATAGCTATTTCTTTATATTTTTCATCATGTTTAGTCTCCAAATGAGGAGCTAAACTCTTCCATCTTGGTTTTGCTACTTTGAAGCTTAATGAATTTGTAAGTTGTGAGTTATTTTCTTTAATCTTCTTCCTTGAATATTAATTCTTTCTTTCAAAATACTATCTCTATATCAAAGTTGGGGAGTGTTACTAAGATGACAATTAGTTAACATCTTGACATTGGTTATAGTAATAGCTATTTCTTCCTCTATGATTATATTGGGGAGTGTTGCTAAGATGACAATTAGTTAACATCTTGATATTAATCATAGTAGGATTCATATATTTTAATATTCTTCCTTGAGTATTGATTAATTCCTATTCATATTTCATGTTAATATCTTAAACATTACTTAAAGTATCAACTAGTATTGTTTCTCATATGCCATATTACTAGAATCAATCGGTTAATACGCTTGTTATTAATCCGGTTCTTTCAACGGTAGTAAACTTGGAATATTAATGCATGCATCTCATGGTTAATATGCCAAGGGGAATTAATTATATTGATTAAACCAATAAACCGTTTGTGTTGAGGTTATCAATCTCAATCGTTTTCATCTTAAGTTTATTGCTACTATCAAGTTAATATACGGCGCTTGTTCTATATTGACTCGATAGTAAGTTTTATTAATGAACGCATCTCGTTATTAATAACTACCCTCGATGAACTGGATATACTCCTCGATTGAGTATTCGAGAGGAAGATAGTTAAAGATATAACCGGGATTGACGAACATTTCATTAAGTGGATAAAAGCAAAACCAAGTCCCCATCTCATTGAATTAAACTCATATAGGTCGTTTATCTTAGTGTTATTAAACCAAACAAATCTAAACCCCCCTTGTTATTATTTATATAAAAGAAAAGTATTCCTTTCCCTGTGGATATGAACCTTACTACACTATACTACGTATTAGTGTTGTATTGATTATTTATTTTGAGTGCACCTAACGACGAGTGCACGTCACAATCGCATGCTCCTTGCCCTCTCATTTAATGTTTTGTTCATCCTCTATGCAACACCATTTAGTTGTGGTGTTTCTGGAACCGTCTTTAGCATCCTAATCCCCCGTTCAACACAATATTCTACAAACTCTGTGCTGCTATATTCACCCCCATTATCACTCTTTAAACACTTAATCTTAAGATTTGTTTCATTCTCAACTGCAGCTTTGAACTTCTTAAAAGTGTTAAAGACAACAGATTTATTTTTAAGAAAATAAACACATACCTTCCATGTAGAATCGTCAATGAATGTAACATAGTAAAAGGAACCTCCAATTCAGGAGACTTTTGTAGGTCTGTAAACGTCTGAATGAATCAGCTTCAGCCTCTCAGCTATGGGTGGTTGTCCTGTCTTCACAAAGGTGACCTTCTTTTGTTTGCCAAGAACACATGGCTCACAAAAGCTCAACTTTGAATTCTTCAAGTTTGGAATTTTGCCTTTTGAAGACAGCATCTTCATTCTGTTCTCACTCATGTGCCCAAGTCTTTGATGCCACAGAGTAGAGACCCATGTATCTTCAACCGTTGCATTAGCTCCATCTGCAGACACTTCAACCGTGTACCCTGTTTTTGCCCGCGAGCAATAACCAGTTTTCCCTTTGTTACCTTCCATTGCCTGTTGCCAAAACTCACATTATGGCCTTCCTCATCAAGTTGTCCCACTGAGATCAACATCTTATTCAGGTCTAGAATATACCTCACATCTTTCAGTTTTCAGGTTGTGCCCAAAGTGGTACTGAGGACAACTTCCCCAATACTCATGATCTCCAGAGATTTGTCATCCGCCAAACGAACTCTCCCACTGCAGGGCCTTTAGGAGTAAAATAGTCCTATTTAGGGAAAAAATCATACATGGTCCTATTTGAGAATTTTTCTCTTCTTTTAATCCTATATGAGGCAATTAATTTTTAAAATTCCATGATATTTGAAAATTTCTTTATTAACACCATTAAAATAGTACACAACACTTAAAAATGCTTAACAATCGTGCAAATTAAAACTTGAGTTTTTTTTGCAATTATTAAAACTTGAGCTTTATTTCTCAATAAATTTCAACGCCTACTAGCCACTTATATTTCAATAATATCTTACAATGGATAAATTCATAATGTATGGACAAAGACTTCTTAGCTACTAATAATGTGACTAAGAAGCTCTTCTCTTCACTTGATCTGAATGTTTATGATCTGAATTTTTTAAGTTCTGATATGATCTGATCTGAAATTTTCTGAACTGATCTGATCTGAATCTTTTTGATCTGATCTGATCTGAATCTTTATGATCTGATCTGAATCATTCTGATCTGGTCTGATCTGATCTGAATCCTTCTGACCTGATCTGAATCCTTCTGATCTGATCTTAATCTTTATGATCTGATATGATTTGAATATTTCTAAAATTATATATATAAATATTATTACTATTATTATAATTTTAATTATAAATATAATTTAAATATAATTATAATCATAAATAAAAAAAATATCAAAAATAAAGATTGAAAAAGTGTAGTAATTAACTAGATTGATAGTACTTGGCTTTCTAAATTGATGTATCTGTATGAGTGTGTTACGTGTTGTAAATAAAATGTATTGAATAGTATATCAATTAGTTTATGACATGTTTTAAAAGTGTTGCTTCTAAGCTCGTTAGGAAATATTGGTGCTCATTGTAACAGAATGTTTGTTAATGATGGTGTAAAAAAATTACAAAAAATTATAATTATAATTAAAATTGACATTTTATAATAGGTACCATTATTATTATAACTATTACACTAAATATAATATCTGCTATAATTATAATTTTAATTATATTTTTAATTATAATTATTTCTATAACTATAATTGTAATTTTAATTATAATATTTATTTCTATAATTATAATTATTATTACTCCGTATAATTCTAATAATAATAATATTATTATTATTAATTATAACAATAGTAACATAACTACTACTAATACTAATACTAATACCAATACTGATGATGATGATGACATGAGCTTCATATCCGTGCCAATTTTTTTATGAATCTTTGCATATCTCCATAAAATATCTTTGTTAATAGTGTACGTACTCTACGTTTTTCAGGTTCGGATTATAACTGCTTGATGTAGTATTGTACTATTGTTTATTTGTTTGATTTAATTTGTTTATGGGAAATTCATTTTGGGTAAAAACGTGCCACCTCTATGTCTTGCGGAATTTCTTCAAAAGGAATTTCAATATAAAGGTCGTGACATATACGAATACCGCATGCGAGTATATGACCCGTATATACTACTATACCTTCCTACCAAATTGATTTGCAAAATTGACTTTTCTTGGTCAAATAGCTTTATTTTATTCACTTAATTAGGATGTCAATTTTTATTACGGAGTATATTATAATTTGGAGTTTACGAATTTGAAGAGATTTTGATGTAGTTTTTGAATATGTATATTTTAATAGTTAAAAATTCAATTAATTAAAAATAAAATTGATTTAACTTTAACATTAGCTACCAAAAAATATTGACTTTGCAAATGAAGGTACTCCATAACTAAGAAATGATGATAGGAAAAACAAAAAAAGGATGACACCTCATCCATGAGGGCCCCCCAACCCCGACCGGACGGTATGTTGGGAGGATGTAAATTGGACCATAATCACAATCTAACAGATAGAAAGTGAGACTCTGTCCCCGATATTAGACTACGTTGACTTGCCAAACATAAAGCACAAGAAAACTTCATGGTGTGCAGTACTAAATGTTCAACCATAATTTCCTGATGATCAACCATAAATGCTCAACGTGTATGAAAAGCAGATTCTTGAGATTTAATACCTTGCAGGTCATAAACGTGCTCAACCGATTTACAGGCCGGATTATTCCACCCATAAATAACCATTGAGCTATTTTTCTCCTCACAAAATGGTTTCAAGAAAAGAGTATGTAGTTGTTTTTCCATTCATGGCTGAAGGGCACATTATCCCATTTCTAGCGTTGGCCCTCAAGCTAGAACAAGAAAGAAACTTTGCAATAAGCTTCGTCAACACCCCTCGCAACATCAACAAGCTCCGTTCGTCTCTCCCGCCGCACTCCGCCATTCGCCTCCTCGAGATCCCTTTCAACGGGGAGGAACATGGCCTTCCACCAGGCGCCGAGAGCACGGAATCCCTCCCCATCCACCTCCACTTTCGCCTCATCCAATCGTCTCCGTCCCTAAAACCTGCATTCCGGGAACTCCTCTCCGAACTCGTCTGTGAATCGAACGGCATCCCGCCGATGTGTGTCATCTCTGATATTTTTTTCCCTTGGTCGGCCGATGTTGCTCACGAGTTCGGGTCATCACATGCAATTTTCAATGCCGGTTGCGGGTACGGCATGGCCGTGTATCATACCGCGTGGCTCAACCTTCCGCACTTGAACGCCAAATCCGAGGAATGCCCACTTCCCGGATTTCCAAATGGCACGACATTTTGCGTGACCAAATTCCCGGAACGGCTAAGGCAAACCAAGGAGCCTTCCGAGTTTGCCCTAACGTTGTTCCGGGAATGGTCAAAGACTGATGCAATGTTGTTCAATACGATTGAGGAAATCGACCAAACGGGTATGAAATACTTCCGGGATAATTTTCCTTTCCCAGCTTTCCCGATTGGTCCTATTTTCTCGTACCAGCAAACATCCGCCACTCTCGTGGCGGATTCTATGGTTTGCATGGATTGGCTTGACAAGAAACCGCCTAAATCGGTTCTATACATAGCATTTGGGTCACAAAGCACCCCTTCGATAGCACAAATGAAGGCGCTTGCCTCCGCGCTGGAGGCTAGCGAAGTCAACTTCCTATGGGTGGCTCGACGCCCGTCGAGTTTTGCCGCGTTGTCACCAGAAAATGATCAAGAATGGTTGCCTCGAGGGTTCGAGGAGAGGATCAAGAGGAGTGGGAAAGGGATGTTGGTGAAGAAATGGGCCCCACAGAAGGAGATTCTGGCCCACGGTTCGGTCGGGGCGTTTTTGAGTCACTGCGGTTGGAACTCTACCATGGAAGCACTAGCCAATGGGTTGCCAATATTGTCATGGGCCATGAGTGCCGAGCAGCCATTCAATGCAAAGATGCTAGAGGAAGAATTGAAGGTTTGTGTGGAGGTGGCTAATGGGTCTGATTCACAAGTCAACAGTGAGCAAATAGTGGGTAAGATCAAGATGGTTATGGAGGGCAAAGAAGGGGAAGAAATGAGGAAGAGAGCTAGTGAGATTATGAAGAAGATCAAGAACGCTACTTGTGATGATAATGCCACAGCTCGAGGGTCTTCTGTTAAAGCCTTGGACGAGTTTTGTGTTTTTGCTTCTCAAAAGAGAAATATGTACTTATATTGCCCAAATAAAATAGACGACAAAAAATGTAGACCTGAATTAGAGGCATCCGTTGTTCTAGTCTGAACCTACCAGTACTCACTACAAAAATAATGATATTGACATGGAACTGATGGAGTGTAACACGGGCCATAACATATTTTTGGCATAATGTCGTGCCAAATAGCCGGTAACAAAACGGCATTGACATGAATTTGACGTATCCGTGTCAAATATTCTATGAATTTTGAAAAATTTCTGCCAAAGTTCCGTGTCCAATATGTGTCAATTCTGAACTAATTAGTAATATGACACTAAAGCAACTAATTCATTATCTTCACAATCGGCCCAGTTAATAACATATACTCCTTTTGGAGTATGAGATTATAGTTCCAAGTACTTGTTTTCCTGGGACTTCATTAAGCACCAAGTAACATGATTCTAATTCTTTCAAGGAAAATTAGGTATTATTAATCTTAACTATACGCGGTCCGCTTTTAATAATCCCTAGTATTGATTATTTCCCTGTACTCCCAACTTGGGTCCCCCTTTTCCAATAATGCACCCTGACCGGTTTTAATATGTTGTAACCGGTAACTTCAAACACGTGCACCTCACGTGTGTATTTAGGTCGCACACCAACCTCCGGCCAATTTACGATCAGGAGTTGTTCGTTGGCCAAAAAAATTGACATCCTACAAATGAGTTCGACTATTGGGTCATCATCTAGGGGAGGAAAGGCTGGAAGCAGTGGATTTACAGTTCGGTGAAACCACGATATTTGTTCTACACATAGAGTGGTCAAAAGCGGTCCAAACAGAGGCAGACAGTTCTATGGGTGTGCGTTGTGGCCGATGAGTTTTTGAATATATTGTAGTGCATTACAAACTGATTGTTAAGAGTATTGTTGATTTTTTGACTTGCTGATTTACAGAAAGAGGATTGTTCTTACTTCCAATGGATTGATGGTATTCATGTTTGCAAAGAAGAGAACTTAAATGATAAGGAAATCTTGGTGGAGCAGCTTGTGAAGGACAAAACGACTTTACTGGAGAAGATTAATAGGCTGAAAGTTAAGAAAGAAGTGCTTGAAGCTAAAAATATGGAAAAGCAAATACTGATTGTGAAGCATACAAAGACAAACAAATTTGCATTCATTACGCTTGTGTTGTCATGGATGTGGTTTTCTTTTGTGTTGTATTCAAAGTAGTTTGGTAGAGTATGAGTGTGTTGTTTGGAGTGTGGTAGTTTGAAGTTTGCACTTGGTAATTTGGCTGAATGTACAACAATACTAAGTTAGTGATTGTGTCAATACTATGTTGTTGTTGCACTTGGTTTAAAGTAGTATAATAATACTAACTTACTCTTTGTGTTAATATTAACTTAGTGTATGATAGAGTATATCTCTAGAGAGAAGTGAGAGCTAGAGAGAGAAGTAGTATATTTGCTTAATATTAATGAATTCTCAACCCCTACAACTACTCCCAAGGGGAGTATTTATAGAGAAAATACGGGCTGGGCTCCCAAGCCTTAGGCTTGGAAGGCCCATTTACAACTGGACCGCTACTGGGCCGAATACAAAGCCACTAATGGGCTGTACAAATGAATGAGTATAAAATCCGATTCTGTGAGGTCTTCGTGGCCGACGAGTATTGTTGATTTTTAAGAGTATACTTGCACTTGGTAATTTGGCTGTACAAATGAATGAGTATACAAAGCCACTAATGGGCTGTACAAATGAATGAGTATAAAATCCGATTCTGTGAGGTCTTCGTGGCCGACGAGGGCACGGCCGACGAGGGCACGGCCGACGAGGGCACCCGAGTTCCTTGGGCTCAGGACCATAATCTGAGTTGGCCCCTTTTCGGCCGACGGGGGCGTCTTGGCCGATGAGGGCGCCGCTCTGTGTCTTGTGCTTTCTGTTCTTCCGAGTATGTGGGTCCAGGGGCTCAGACCCATATACTCCATCAGGAGTCCCCCACTCTCTAAGCTGAGACGTAGACGAAGTGAAGGAGAGTAGATTCCCGTGTTTTAGCGCTTTTGGCCGATGCGGGCATCCCCGGGTCGTTAGCCGTTGCGGCGTTGGCGTTGTTTCCTCTTTGGTGTGTTCATTCGAGGACGATGAGTCTCCCGCTTCGATGGTGGCCGTTGAAGGCACGCTTTCCTTTTCATGGGCGTTGATGGTTGAAGTTTGGGCCGATGAGGCCGTTGAGGCTGTTCCTTGCTCTGAGGACAATGGCGTCCTTTCCTTTGGGTGGCCGATGGGGGTGTTTGCGCACTCCTTTTGGCCGTCGTTGATTACCTCTCATGTTTTTGGCCGAAGAGCCCCTCATGATTAAGTGATGGCGAAGGACGATGAGCGTCCTTGCCTTTGGTGGCCCGTTGGCCGTTGCAGATGACGTTGTGTGCCTTCGGTCGACGAGGTGCAGTGTGACGCATGGCCGATGTGGCCATGCTCTGTGGTTACCTTGTTTGCATTCTCTTTTGTTTTTGTTGAGGCCGGTGTAGTCCCCCAGTCCCCCACTTCCTCAGGCCGAAGAGTGTGAGGGGTGAAGGAGTTGCCTGAGTCCCAGGCCGAGGCGGCCTCTCCGTAGTGCCCCTGAATCCAACCCTTATGGCGATTTTCTGGCCAAGGTAACCCTGTGGGAGAACCCTTGCGCGCAGATCGCTTGTAAAGAGTTATCATCAAGGGTCGTTACGAGGAGCCGACGGCTGTGGGTTTTTGTTCCTTTGGTCCTGTGGCCGTTCATTACGTTCCTGGCCGTTGTCATCTCCCTATCGTTGGCACTTGTGAATTTGGTATGTGAATAGGCCGCTGTGGGCGCTTGCTGGCACTTGTGAAGCCGGCAAGCGTAGAGGCCGTGGAGTTTGTTTTGCTGGTGGGCTCTTGATGTTTTGCTTGGCCCGTTGTTGACGTGGCGGCCTCTCATTGGTGGCCGTTGATGTGGCCATTGGGAGGGTGCCACGTGTAGTGACCGTTGGGTGGGGGGTTCTATAAATACCCCTCCCCCTCCGACGAGAAAACTCATTTGCTTTCTGAGTTTTGTCGAAGTGCTGCCCGGATTTCTAGAGAGATAAACTCTGAAGCTTGTTCTTCGTGTTCTTCGTTTGTTCAAGGTTAGTGTTCATCGAAATCCTCTCTGTACTTTGCATGTTTTGCTTCCTAGGCTAGTGATCTAGTGTTAGGCCCTTGAGTATCCTTAGATCTTGAAGTAGGCTGCAGTATATTCGAGATAGTGTTTAAGATGAAAAACCTCAACGAGGAGTACTATCCTTATGACGACGAGCCCTCTGCCCAGTCCCTTGACTATGACCTTCTCGAGGAGTTCTGTGAGGAGATTGAGAATCTGAGCTCGTTCCATACCGGGGAGCCGGCCGAAGAGGACCATGCGGACGAGGGGTCTGCGTCATCGTCTGGGGGTGAGGACGCGGGGGTCTCTCGAACTGCTGATGTTGCAAAGTTGTCTAACTTATTTTTACTGCAGGGTGCCTTCATGTTGATGGAGAACAACAGGAGGCAACAAAAGGAGATTGCCCGTCTGAGGCAATTTGAGCAGAAGGTTGCCTCAGCCGATGAGGCGCTAGGCAGCTTAGAGAGGCTGCGTCTTGAGGTTGAGGGCCTTAAGAAGAAGGCCGACGAGGCCGACCAGTTGGCCGCTGAGAAGGAGGGGGCTCTCCAGCGCTTGGCCGACGTGGAGCGTGCCCGCAATGAGGCCCTTCAACGCGCCGAGGAGGCCGAGAAGGGCAAGGCTGGTGCAGAGTTGGCTCTCGTCGCTGCCGAGGAGAAAGCCGCTGATGCCGTTGTGCAGAAGTTTATTGAAGTCGGTTGGAAGGACGAGGGTCGGCTTTCATTCTGCTTTGAGGTCGTGGCGGCCAGACTCGTTGACTGGGTGAACCAATCCCCCGACGGCCAGGCCTATTGGGAGAAGGAGATGAAGGTCTTTTATGACCTTGGCCAATACCGGATGCAACGGTTGTTGTACAGGAGGCTGCAACGGCGCTTCATGGATATCGGTGTGTCCAAAGAGTGGGCCGTCGGCCTCGAGTTGCCTCCTTTGATGAAGCATCCTGAGGCAGAGTTGGAGCTTCCGGTGGCCGAGCGGCAGCTCCCTATTGAGAGCTCACGCATCAGCGATGACTGGGCGTATGAGCGGAGCATGTTCGAAGATACTGCCACGTCGGCTGCCCCTGCCGGTACATCTGTTGTCACGGCCGAGGGGGGTCCTGAGGCCGAGAAAGACTCTGAAGCCCCTCCAGAGGTCTGATCCTTTGTAGTTTTATCTTTCTTTGTGCTATGTAACGGCCTAGAAGCCCTCCTTGTACTCAATTTATATTGAATGGAAATGTTTTCGTAGTACTTTCTGTCTGTGTCGTCGTCTCGTTTATTGTTATGTCTAAGTACTTTGGAGTTTAGGACTTAAGAAAATCTACCGAGTATCGGAACCTCGAGTGGGTGGGTGTTCTCATCGTCTTGATGTGATACCCCCCTTTGCACTGTTAATCATGTGTTCTAAGAAATTTCCTAAGTGTTGAACCGATGTTGACGTTGTCAGCCTAGTGTCCTTTGTGGCCATTGTGTCCCCTTGTTTTTGATCTGATCAGGGTGGTCGGCTTGGGGCCATGTGTTGTGGCCGGTAAGGGCGCACAGGTTGCTGTCTTTCCGGCCAGGTGGCTTGACCGGCCTGGCTGTCGTTTCTCATCTATTATAACACAGGATTTTTTCAAAAATTTCCGAAGTGTTTTGGGTCCACTTAGGTGCTCTCCTTTCGGCCTTGACCGCGGTGTCCGCTCCATCCTGGCGTTGTCCCGTTCTTCTTTTTTGTTAGAATTTTTCTTAAGCGTCTAACTTCAAGTGGAAAGGTGTTCCCATCGTCCTGGCGGTGGATTTCTCATTGTTGACAAATGCTTTGGGAGATTTCCAAAGTGTTTGAACCAGTGTCGTTGTCGGCCTGCATCCTTTTGTTGTGGCCGATAAGGGCACCTTCATCTTGATCTTTTGAACCTAGAGTTCTCCAAGTACACATGCATAGGTGTAAGTAGCTAACGGCCTTGGAGTATACTGGTACCCATTTCGGCTGAAGTTCCTTCATTTGAGTACTTAGATAATTTTCTAAGTATAACTGTTAGGCATTTACTTCTTTGCGGTGCCGCTGTCGGCCAAGGTCTGGTTTGTGGCCGATGAGGGTGCTGGATAAGGAATGATTTGTCCAAGGAGATGGTCCTACCTTCGTCGGCTAGCCATGGTTCCTTGTTGAGGAACCCTCTCTTTTCT